GCCTGACAGCAGGGCTTACATGCCCACTACCAGCCCCTCCTGCCTCCTTACTGTCCTTGTTAGAGAATTTCTTCTCACCATTGTCTTGGCTTTACTACCCTGAGTCTTCTCGGTCGTTATTGTTGTGGCTGTTTTTAGCTTGGTCAACCAGTTCATCTCTCAAAACCATCGCTAGATCCTCCAGACTGCTCCTGCCCACTGTGACTGCGCAGAATTGTACTGCGGTTCCATTTCGACAGTGCAATCTGAGTTACAGTCCATAAACCTCTGCACAGCACTCCGGACAACCAACCACTGTAACATGCTTCACTGATTTCAACTGCACATTCTTAATGTCATCCTCTGATACGTGCCTGTGTGATCAGTACATAAACTCTGTTTAAGAGTGTGTTCATTATCTGTGCACATCTGGTTCCCTGAAAGAGCATTTGATGTGCTCACTGAATGTTTAAAACAATGAAACCACTTTAAAATCCCCAAAAGCTTTTTTGCTTGTTTTGGGGAAAATGATAATAAAAGGTAATTTTGATATGCCTTCCTAGATTGCGATGTCGTATTAAGTGTTTGTATTCCACAGCTGTTGAAGCTGTTTTCCTAAGGCTGTTGACTCTTCCTTCATAGCGGATGTGGCTCTGGACCCTGACACAGCACACTGTGAGCTCATTATATCAGGCAGTGGAAAGGTACTGCGGAGGGGGAACTGGAGAGTTGTCTCTGACAATCCCAAGAGGTTCAACCGCTGGTTCGCTGTCGTGAGCAAGGAGGGCTTCTCCTCGGGGCGACACTACTGGGAGGTGAAGGTGAACAATCACTGCACTATAGGAATCACCAGAGAGTCTGCCCTGAGTAAAGGAGCTTTCTCCTTAACCCCCAGGGAAGGTTACTGGATTCTGCAATGTGACCCTTCTCATCTTGTTGTTCGCACCTACCCTGAGATCCATCTTCCCCCACATCTGCTGCCTAGAAGGCTGGGGGTGTGCCTGGATGTGGAGGAAAAGCAGGTCTCCTTCTACAGAGTGGAGACCCGGGCACACATCTACACCTTCTCTGACCTGGAGATCAGGGAAGGGGAGAAGCTCTTCCCATTTTTCCGGACCCTGGATAATGCTAATTTCCTTACTATACTTTCTCCTGCAGATTGCAGAAAGTAGAGTTAATCCCTCTGCTCATGAATGACTCATGCTATTGTATTTCAGTTATGATGGGTATTAAGATAATTTCTTATTTGGCAATAGAAGTCCCAATAATTGTAATAGTAGCTCATCGGTAACAGATGTATCCAGAGTACAGTACTGTGCAAATTCTAGATTACAACGAAGTCTGAGCCCCCAGACTATTGTACCATTCTACAATTTTGACTCAAATGGTTCCTCCACAATTGCACAACAATCTGAAAGGTGTGGTAGGATGCAACATTTTAACAATTGCAGTATATCATTTATATGGAATACATTGTTACAGTTATTGATGTCTCAAGGATCTAGGTACAACAGTCAAACACTTAGCTTGTCAACATTTGTAGTTTTTAGGAGCTCAAATGAAGAAAGGAACTGAGCTGTTTGCTGAGTGGAAGAGGGACTGAGACACTGATCCAAGGAATCGTCTGGTTTACCTTGGTTACTTGAGTTCTGGGTAAATGATTAAAAGTTATCAACAGCTGAACAGCACAGGATAAAAACAGGCAGTCAGGTCCTTGTTCTGACCATCCTTTAAGACCAGATTTGAGTTGCGCATCTAAACCTTTTTAAGAGCTCTTGCCATTCTGTTGTGTTTAGGAAACTCTGATTTCCTGTATAGTGAATCCCTAGGTTAAAAACAGGCTCTCCTGGTTAGTAGATGCGTTTTTAGAACACGGAGATATGTTCTCATTCATTTTGTAGCATCTAGATTATGTATTAGGAGATTTAACTCTTGGTTGTATTCTGATCAGTATAGAAATCAGGATTATCTCTATTTTTGGATGTGTTGGATGTTCCAAAGGATTCAAACGCTTCGTAGAAATCTTTGGATGTTATGGTTGATCAGGACGAAGGCCTTGTTTGTAAATAGCATATTTTCAATGTATATTTGTTCCGTGTTTTGAATTAATACATTTTTTTCACCCAGTATGTCTGATTTGTTTAAACCATTTTCACAAAAGCTGTGCCAAAGATTAAAGAAAGCAAGTGCCTCAAATTATACGAATTGTTTAGGAATATTCTTGCCATAATCTCTAAAAGTTTGGGGTTATGGTTAGTTTAATTGTTTAACCTGCTCACTGTTTCTGGTATTCTCGATTTTTGTAATAACTGTATAATATCAGTTGATGGACAGATACTTTTCTTTCAGACTTTCAATGACTGTATGATCCCCTTTACCTACTGATAGCTGTGTCATTTGTTATTTAGGTGTTCTAAGTCATTTAGTGTTGGCTCTGCTGTTCAGGTTTTGACCTGAGATCCATGGTCTCTTACAGTGCTCCTCATGTGCAGAAGAAGGAGTTTCTTCTTCCTGTCCTCCCTGCGTTCCACACCTACTCGAACAAAACACTTGTACATGAGGTGTTCCTAATACACACTGGAGTTTTCACTCCCTCATCTACGTGTCAGTGGATCTCCATCCAGTCATGGAAGAAAACCATCTTCTTGGTTCTGTTCCAGCCAAGTTCTTAATCATGTGCTGATTTATTTTAAATTTCTATGGTGTGTGTTTTACAATTTGCTTTCAGCTGAGCTGTTAAAATGGGGAGTGAGATTTGTAATTTTCAGAAACCTTGTTCCATCATTTTGGTGTCTCTTATAACCAGTTGGACTGAAGCAGAAAGCAACACCGTGCCACAAGAGGGGCTTGTCTGAGATAATGCCAATTCAATTCAATCTGTGTATGTCTGATACAGTGACACTTCCACTGTGGATACAGTATATCTGATAGTATCTCCTCCACTTGGTCATGTTCAATACAGCGCCACACCCACTGTGGATAGATCTGAGAGTGTACAGTACAGTGACACTCCCACTGTGGATATACAGTATCTGATAGTGTCTCCTCCACTTGATCATGTTCAATACAGTGACACTTCCACTGTGGATACAGTATATCTGATAGTGTCTCCTCCACTTGGTCATGTTCAATACAGTTACACACCCACTGTGGATATATCTGATAGTGTTCAGTACAGTGACACTCCCACTGTGGATATCCAGTATCTGATAGTGTTCAGTACAGTGACACTCCCACTGTGGATATACAGTATCTGATAGTGTTCAGTACAGTGACACTCCCACTGTGGATATATCCGATAGTGTCTCCTCCACTTGGTCATGTTCAATACAGTAACACCCCCACTGTGGATATATCTGATACTGTTCAATACAGTGACACTCCCACTGTGGATATCCAGTATCTGATAGTGTTCAGTACAGTGACACTCCCACTCTGGATATATCTGATAGTGTCTGCTCCACTTGGTCATGTTCAATACAGTGACACTCCCACTGTGGATATATCTGAAAGTGTCTCCTCCACTTGGTCATGTTCAATACAGTGACACTTCCACAGTGGATATATCTGATAGTGTTCAATACAGTGACACTCCCACTGTGGATATATCTGATAGTGTTCAATACAGTGACACGCCCACTGTGGATATACAGTATCTGATAGTGTCTCCTCCACTTGTTCATGTTCAATACAGTGACACTCCCACTGTAGATATATCTTGAAGATTTTTCTCTGAAGTTTTTCCTCGGGTCCTTTATCCTCAGGTGTAGCTGTGTCATAGTTGGTCTTCAGTTTTTCAGATGTTTGCGTTGTTGATTACTTTTTTCCCCCAATGACAATTATTTGCTAAACTTAGCTATCGTTTAGGAGGAATTTCCTGGTCTACAGAGATCTCCATGGAGTACTAACACACAGAAGACATGATGAATTGATTAATACCCTCATCATGTCCTTTTTAAAATGTATTTAATGTTAGCATGCCCAAAGGGGTTGGCCAACCAGTTGACCTTGGACCCCTAGAGGGGTCTCTCCTTCCTAAGGGGTTTTCGGTTCCTCTCCTCCGTTGTCTTATGTTCTGTATTGACAAAATGTATCGTCAACTGCATTGTTAAGCGCCTTGGGGCAACCTTGTTGTGAAAGGTTCTATATAAAAATAAATTGGATTTGAATAAACTATTTATTCAGTTCCAGAAAACAAAATCTCAAAGACATTAGGAGCTCATCAGCTGTGCTGCCTCTCACTCTCTGTAAACTAAAGGGCAATAAACCCCCTGTTGTGGAAACAGTCTCCCGTCTCCAGCCTCCTCCTCCTCACGCCCACTGTTCTCACTGTTGAGCTCCTGAGCCCAGGGTCCAGGGCTGTGCTAACACTGCGCTGTTAGTATTCTCACCTCATTGTTCTTACATCACGCCTTTAGAAGACTCGTGGCAAAAAGTTGCTTCTTTCTACCTTTCAGAGCATTATTAACCTTTACTTGCTCCCCCCGAAAAAAAGAGCTGTAGCCACTCAATTACATCCATAAAATGACTTGGCAACATAATTATTACCAACACGTAACCGTTTACAGGATGACCAATGTAATTAGTGACAGGCCCTAGCTACACGTTACAATTAAATAATCCATATTCTTATTGGAAGACGACATCAATGAATACTGTATATTAATGTGTTTAATTTTTATTTTAGTGGTATTCATTGACGAGCAAGATATTCTAAGGCAGGGTGCCATGGCAGTGCAGTGGCTTGTATGACTGCTGTACAGGACAGAGTTCGATTGAGGAGCAATTGGGATGGGTTTGGGATATTCCTCCCCAACTTTGTAGGGGTTTCCCCTGGGTGCTCCTGGGTGCTGGTAGGTTAATTGACATCTGGATAAATTGAGCAGGGTGGAAGTGTCTGTGCATATTGGCGCAGGGCATCCTGTGCCTGCCCTCTGCTCCTTGTTTGCCAGAATAGGTGCTGGCTCTCCCCCCGACATCCTGAATTGGATGGAGAGATGGAAAATAGATTGATAGATTCATTCTGAAGCATTTTGTGGGGCAACCGTTCTGGCACGACAGGCTGTGACAAATCAAAAGAAAGTTAGTGGTCTTGCGTGCCTGTTAGCCCTTGTTTTCTACTGATTATTTACAGATCACCCTCACAAACGCCAGGCCTGGAACTGGCTGGACTGAGCGTGCAGGAGTCTTTGTTTATTCATTCTGCTGGAGTGAGTTCAAGGGCAGCGCCACTTTCAGTTTCGATCTGGAGGTGGGGGCGATAGACTGGTTCAGCCAGGGGCTGG